GCAGGGATGAATGCACCAGGTTCAATATCAAGGAGGCGGGGTTCAAGAGCTAGATCCAGTTCTCCGTAGACACAACTAGACAAGGTTAACTAGGTAAACATGCACACAGATAAAAGAAACTCCCCCCTCCCACACACACACACTGGTTCTGTGGGACCAAAGAGCCAAAGCTCAACCCCGCAAGCACAACTAGGTGAGTCCACACACACACATGCACATCAGGAGCAAAGTGATGTGGTGGAGGCTGACTCCATACACAGTTTCTAATATAGGTATGATAGGCTCAGGAATCTGTACACCAGTTGATTGACGGTTGAGAGGCGGGACCAAAGAGACAAAGCTCAACCCCTGCAAGCACAACTAGATGAGTACACAAAATCAATCCTTCTACACCTCCTCAACCCACTTGTGGTCCTGGACGTGCATGTGACAACTGATTCGTAATCATCGACCAGCATCACTATCCAGTATAATGAAATCCACGTATCAGAGTCATCTATTGAGAAACACATACAACTAAAGGCAGCAGCATATCTAAATACGTATAATTTCTTCTTATTAATTATAATCATTTACATATACAGTTAAAATCAGGGCCATCTTTAAGAGCACTGTAAAAAAAATGCACTTGGACCCCAATCCAGATGCTGGACATTGGGTTCCCCCTACCTAGATGATGGGCACTAACCCCCACCTCCCAGATGATGGGCACTAACCCCCACCTCCCAGATGATGGGCACTAACCCCCACCTCCCAGATGATGGGCACTAACCCCCACCTCCCAGATGATGGGTACTAACCCCCACCTCCCAGATGATGGGCACTAACCCCCACCTCCCAGATGATGGGTCCCTGATGCCCCCTACCCCACCAAGTCACTTGGTGTGTAGGGGCACCTAAACTGAAGTCAATAGTAATATAAGATGTCAAGCCTCATTGATTGCAGGAGACAGGTTTTATTTGTTCCAAAGCAAATCCTGCTTTATACTTCCACTTCCCAACAAGTCCTGTCATAACAATAAACATTTGTGTTAGTTAAAAAAAACTTCTGAACCTGAAATAGATTGTTTAGTATGTGACAGGGGGAGAGAGAGAGAGAGAGAGAGAGAGAGAGAGAGAGAGAGAGAGAGAGAGAGAGAGAGAGAGAGAGAGAGAGAGAGAGAGAGAGAGAGAGAGAGAGACTAAAACCAGTGCCATGCAGCCACAGGCAGACGGTATCATCACAATATTTATAGTCCATCATCTCCGTACTTAAGCCATAAAGCCACTTCCTTACTGCACCTCTCTCAAGGTCACCACCCGCATCCTCTCCCTCTCTAAGCTTATCGCAAAATGAATTCAATTAATGAGATACGATTAATTTCAATTTTTGGGGGGAGCTGCTGAGTAACGCTTCCTTGCTAATTTATGTATCAACTGAGATACAAATTTCTGAATATGCTGAGTTCTCGTTACAAATTTGTTTAGTGAAGTGGTTAATGAGGAATGCTCTAATCATGGCACACAATCTCATTTTCGCTTCTTAGGCTTGAGACTGGAAATATAGAATGGCCAAACTTTGATCAAATATCGCTAAATATTCTCAGGGTAATAAATTACTGAGTATTTACTCTGGATGTCTCACTTTCTAAGCTACAAAGTTCTACCTAAACTGATCGAGGTGTACCCAACGTTGCGCGCGCGCGCGCACGCACACATTGACGATTCGAGAAAGGGACCTGGGAGTGGACGTAACACCTAATCTAACTCCTGAGGCACATATAAATAGGATAACGACAGCAGCGTACTCTACACTGGCAAGAGTTAGAACATCATTCAGAAGCCTAAGTGAGGAGGCATTTAGGGCGCTTTACACTGCCTACGTGAGGCCAGTCTTAGAGTATGCCGCGCCATAATGGAGTCCCCATCTGAAGAAACACATAAGAAAACTGGAAAAGGTTCAGAAGTTTGCGGTAAGGCTCGTCCCAGAGTTACGAGGGATGGGATATGAAGAGAGTCTGAAAGAACTGAACCTTACGAGACTAGAAAAAATAAAGGGAGAGGGGGGATATGATAGGAACGTATAAAATACTCAGGGGAATTGACGGTGTAGAAATAGATGAAATGTTGATAAGTAATATTAACAGAATGAGGGGGGCATGGGTGAAAGCAGGAAACTCAGATGAGTCACAGAGATGTTAGGAAGTTTTCTTTTAGCGTGAGAGTAGTGGAAAAATGGAATGCACTTGAGGAGCAGGTGGTGGAAGCAAACTCTATTTATAATTTTAAAACTAGATATGATAGGGAAATGGGACAAGAGTCATTGTTGTAAACAACCGATGGCTAGAAAGGCGGGATCCAAGAGTCAAAGCTCGATCCTGCAGGCACAAACAGATCAGTACACACACGCACACACACACACACACACTCTCTCTCTCACGCACAAAAATTTAGACCAATGTCACTGACAAGTATTCCATGTAAAGTGGTGGAGAAATGAATAAGTTTGAGAATAGTGGGGCACCTCCAGAGGATGAACTTTATAAGAAGGACAGCACTGACTTAAAAGGAATAAGACATGTCCGACAAAGTTGATGGAGTCCAATGACAAAATTTCCAAAATTCGACAAGAAAAAGATGGCTGGGTAGACTGTAATTTTCTAGTAATGTCAAAAAGAATTTTACATTCATTATGTAAGGCAACATAAAGAAACAAGCAGGAATAACTGGGAAAACACTGAACTTGGTAAGAGTATCTGAAGGTTTGGGACCGGAGGTTGATTCTCGAATCACTGCTACTTTTATTTTACGTGAATGGCCTACCGGGAGGAGTAGGCTTGTACGTGTTAATGATTGCATATGATGCAAAGCTAATGTATGAATGTGTAATAATGTATATGTGTACTCGCCTAGTAAAGGTATACACACAACCGTGTATATGTGTGTGTGTGAGTACTCATCTATTTGTGCTTGCGAGGGTTGAGCTTTGGCTCTCTGGTCCTGCCTCTCAACCGTCAATCAACCGGTGTACAGATTCCTGAGCCTACTGGGCTCTATCATGTCTTGGGCCGTCTTTACCCTGAGCTCTGTTTCCCATGTTATATCTATTAGGAACTTTCTTATCTCCTCATAGTTTCCCTTTCGGAATGCCAGCCTTTTGTTTTCAGTTCCCCTCCTCGAGTTCAATAACCCTTCTTCAACCAGATACTTAAACACCAGTACACTGTGGTCGCTTATTCCTACTGGGGCCTCAAACCCGATTTTCCTTACGTCGGAATCGTTCAGAGTTAAGACTAGGTCGAGTCTCGCTGGTTCATCGTTTCCTCTCATCTTAGTGGGCTCCCTGACATGTTGGCTTAGAAAGTTTCTTGTCGCCACCGCCATTAGTTTGGCTCTCCATGTATCCTCTCCTCCATGCGGTTCCTTGTTCTCCCAGTCTATCCTTCCGTGATTGAATTCCCCCATGATGAGCAGATGGGATCTATTTCTACAGGCAGCAGAGGTTATAGTGTTAGTTATAGTGTTCTCAGTTATAGTGTTAACTGCCATGTTGTTGTTGTCATACTCTTGCCTGGGTCTTCTGTCATTTGGTGGAGGGTTATATATTACTGCTGCTACTACTTTTGGTCCTCCCAATGTCATGGTGCCTGTTATGTAGTCTCTGAATCCCTTGCAGCCCGGGATGACCATCTCCTCGAAACTCCATTCCTTTCTCATTAGTAGGGCCACTCCACCTCCTCCCCTTCCTTCCCTCTCTTTCCTTATTACAGTGTAGTCCTGGGGAACTCCGCATTTGTTATGATTCCTGAGAGTATTATTGTGTGTGTGTGTGTGTGTGTGTGTGTGTGTGTGTGTGTGTGTGTGTGTGTGTGTGTGTGTGTGTGTGTGTGTGTGTGTATTCACCTAGTTGTTTTCAAGTTGTGCTTGCGGAGGGGGGGGGGGGTGAGGGTGAGCTCTGCTCTTTCGGCCCGCCTCTCAACTGTCAATCAATCAGCTGTTACTAACTACCAATTTCTTTTTTCACACACAAACACACACACACGCACACAGGAAGCAGCTGTCTAACTCCCAAGTACCTATTTACTGCTAGATAACAGGAGCATCAGGGTGAAAAAAACTCTGCCCATTTTGTTTCTGCCATCACCGGGGGATCAAACCCGGGCCCCCTGGGATTACGAGTCCAGAGCGCTGTCCACTCAGCTATCAGGCCCCCTAATAGCCGTGTGTGAGTGGAAGTTGGGGGGGGGGGTGTACGTTCATCGGCCGCTTGACCTCTATACTGTGTTTAGCATGAACGACCTCTTCAATCCGTTAATTCCTCCTAGCGTCCAACCCACTGACCTATAGAGAGCTAAACTGACTCCAATTCCCTCTCACTCCATGGGCCCCCCTACCCCCCCTCCCTCCTAACCTCAAATCATGTCCACATAACTACTTCAAGGATCTTATTTCCTTCTTTAGGGCTCTTCTTCCTTCCTTCAAGGCACTCCTTTCGTTTTTTTTCATTCTGTGCTCTCCTTTCCTTATTCAGGGCTCTCCTTTCTTTCTTTCCTTCCTTCAGGGTCCTTCTCTCCACATCAGCGTCCCATCAAACCATGGCTCTCTAACCCCTTGACGGATCTTATCCTTCTAAGGACCCATCAATCATCCAGTCCCTCCCCCCTCTTCCCGCCAAAAAAATATAAAATTGTAAAAAATTATAATTATTTTTTTATCGATATTTTTATTATTGTTATTGTTATTGCAGAAATAACAACAGATGAGGAAAACAACAGTGGCAATAGCAACAGTAGTAGTAGTATAGTAACAGGATAAATAATGACAGTAGCAGCAACGGCGGCAGCAGCAGCAACAGTAGCAGTAGCAGCAGTAGCAGTAGCAGTAGTAGTAGTAGCAGCAGCAGCAGCAGCAACAAGAGTGACTTGATGGTCAACGCCATAAATGTATATATTTCCTATTCCTGTGCAACATATAAATTGTTCCGGGCTAATGAACGTCTCCTTGTGGTGATTTTTTCACAGCGCCGTCCTCCCCAGTCACCACCAGCCCCTGGCCGTCACCACCAGCCCCTGGCCGTCACCACCAGCCCTTCGCAGTCACCAGCAGCCCCTTGGCCGTCACCAGCAGCCCCTTGGCAGTCACCAGCAGCCCCTGGCCGTCACCACCAGCCCCTGGCAGTCACCAGCAGCCCCTGGCAGTCACCACCAGCCCCTGGCAGTCACCAGCAGCCCCTGGCAGTCACCACCATGAGGACGATATCTTGTATCAGCGGCGTGTCCTGCCTCCTAACCCTCTGCTCCATCCTCCTCCTTATTCTCCAGTATGTGAATTCTTTCTCTTATCGTGACTCTTGTTCTAAATGTGATTGATAATATTTATAAAACTTGTTACTTCTGTCTGGCTCTAAAACTGGTGCACTAGCCTCATGAGGGTCGAGTATGCGTATTGAAGCCTTTCTGGCAGTCCAAAAATATGCATTCTGCCATTTATCTCTCTCTCGGTTAGTCTCGTGCATGATATGCATGTAAGAAAGGCTTTAAGTTTAACTCTATCTGTATCTCTCTTGAATATTTGCAATACACTGGCTGTTTTCCAGTTGTCTGGCAGTTCTCCTGTTTCCAGTATATTTTCTATATATCATAGCAACTGGCCTGTTGAGGCCTTCGGTTCGCTCTCTCTTAGTTTCATGGTGAGATTTTGTCTAGTTCAGCAACTTCAATGGTGTCCAGTTCTAGCAGATGCCTTCTTCAATTCATTAATCGCGAAGTCCTCCAATACTGAGATGTTTGACACCTTCCTTCTCACTTGAGGTTCTTCTCTTTGTTCTATGGTGACAACCGTTTAGAATCTCATGTTCAGTGCTCATACAGTTTCCTTTCATGCTCTGTAAATGTTTATTATTGCTTCAGTCATGTTATTCCTAATCAAGAGGAGAGTCCCTTTTAGAAATATATACATATATGTATGCATGCATGAATGAATATGCAGGTACAATATATGTATATAAGTGTTAATGCATGTATGTACAGTGGTATGTATCCCAGCTAAAAATCGCGCAGTCTAATTCGAGATTCCATATATGTTTTAGTGTCTTCATGTTGTTGTTGTTGTTGTTGTTGTTAAAGATTCGCTGCCTGGATCAAAGTTCCAAGTAGCACGGGCTATGGTGAGCCCGTAGTGCCTTAAGGTGTGTTCATGAAGCAGCAAGACGTACGATCTGCCTCTTAGTTTAAATACAACAGTAAGTTATCCTCGCCCATAAACTTAAAATGTTCTCGAAGACCGTTGTTGACGTTTAATGTTAAACATGCGACTGAATCTAAAAAACAACAAACCAAAAATATAAAGACAATTCAGATTAGCGAAGAATAAAGCACTAACAGGTGTCGTTCCTGGCGTCTTTACATAAACTTGTTAAATCGTTGACCAGACCACACACTAGAAGGTGAAGAGACGACGACGTTTCGCCTTGAGAGTGGTCCAGGACAGACCAAAACGTCGTCGTCCCTTCACCTTCTAGTGTGAGATTTGGTCAACATACTTCAGCCGCGTTATTGTGACTCATCGCCTGCGCTTGATAAATCGTTTTGGTGTTGGGTTTTGGACCTATCAACCACTTAAGGATCATTAAGCCTATACAACAGTTCACTAACCAATTAGCAGGTACACCTTCACCCTAAACATCATCTCGATATATACTCCGAGATGCACGGTACACCTTCCGTTAATATAAACTTGTTAAATCAACTTTTGTTGTTAAATCAATATTATATTAGGTTGTTGTTGTAGTTGTTTAAGATTCAGCCACTCTGAACAAAAGTTCCAAGTAGCACGGGCTATGGTGAGCCCGTAGTAGACTTGTATATTAGGTAATTACTGTTTATAATAATTGTAATAGTTAAGAATATAAAGAAATACTGAATTAGTCTATATATTATATTATCCTAGCTAAGTAATGTACTACAAGCTTAACACACCCAGAAAGTATCACTTTATCTATCGTAGACACTACAAAAGTCTTTAGTATATATGGCCAAACCTGTTACACTAATCGTAACCTTTTAGTTTTATATTAGCAACTCGCTCAAGATGTCTGCTAGACATCAACGCTTACGGCTAATTCTGTATCTAGGCCCAATATAATTAAATAATAACTATAATGTTCCGAATAAACAAATTATACAAAATCGTTAGTGATAAACCTGGGATTAGCAATTAAAATTTTTATAAGACCGTAAAATGAGTCAACATTGACTCTTTCGTCCTGAACAGCGTCCAGCACCACCTTACCACCCATGCAACACGGTGTATGATAAATCATTCAGTCAAAAAAATTTATAACGTCCAATATTAAATTGTGTGTGTTAGTTTGTCAGTAAGCTACAGTCTTCACCTTAATAACCCTCTAAAGGTTGATAAGCCTTAACCAAAAACCAAACCAATTACATCTCGTATCTAAGTGCGATAGCCATATTAGTCATATGACCTAATCATAATAGCAGTGGTAAGTAGCACAATGATAAAGTAATTGAGAATAATTTGAGCACATTATTAACCGGATCGCCCATAATGGGAACACTCCCAAGTTCCGGATGTGTAAGCGACCTTCGATATGAGTCTCTAAACGGAATTGAAGTTGAGGTGACGTCAGTATTATCCTGGAACCTCCTTTAGAGGAGTTTAATGAAATAGACCATCCAGGTTTTGCTGTATTAATTTGTCACAAGTCGAGCGAAGTCCATCAAGACAAAGTCACAGCTGAGGTATAAGAATGGGGGGTAGTGATTATTGCTTTTATTCTATACAAAGAATAAAATGAAGTCATACAAACAGGCTAGGCTACCTGACCAGGTAGCCTAGCTCTTATACAGAGATTATTACTCACGCTAGCATCGCCGCTCTGCCCATGACACCTCAACCCTCTGCATTCCCTCAGCGCCTCGCCAAAAGATAGAACGATCTTAGATACGTATATGGGTAGACGGTCATGGTAACACTAAATCTGATAGGTTATCACTACGACAGTCTCCTGCATAACTGTGTGACCTTCGCTCGGCTTGTTGGTGTATTAACTGTTGTAACCTATACAGTTCTGCCTAAGGACTTATAATATAATTAAAATGAATCATAATTGCGCTATGAACCATGCAATTAGGCTAACTTCGCTCACGGACATATATGAAAGTCATTAGTTAAAAGAGTGTATTGAGTTTATATTATTTAAACATTATTTTGATCACTTGTGCTTCCCGGAAAAGCAAAAGATTCCGTAGTTGCCAATTGTATTATATTCTATATATTAAATACAAATAGCTCAGCTATTTCTTACTATTCTTCGCATAAAGCCTGGGAGCTAGGGAACTGTTGTGGGTTGGAGAAAGACAATTTTTAAAGGTACCACAAACAAATTATACAATTTTAAGCTCTAATACAGTTTTCTGTTCCCGTGAATGTGAAAGGATGAACCCACGATACAAAATTTCATCGATTTGGTTTGAGAAAGTAGTCATTCATCTAGAAGCCAAAGTAAGCCTCTGGTGAAATCGCTAAGCCAATATGACTACTTCGGGCTTATCTAGAAGCCAAGGAATGATGATTTTGGGATAGATTAATTAAAACAAACCCGTAGACATCTGGACTAGGTTTAATAAGTCACAAAGCCTCCGATAACAGCTTTAAAATCGAAAGACCTAGCAAGGAGCTAAAACATAAGACTACAGGAAAGTGTATTGTCCCACACGACCCACCGCCTATTGTCCCACACGACCCACCGCCTATTGTCCCACACGACCCACCGCCTATTGTCCCACACGACCCTCCGCCTATTGTCCCACACGACCCACCGCCTATTGTCCCACACGACCCACCGCCTATTGTCCCACACGACCCACCGCCTATTGTCCCACACGACCCACCGCCTATTGTCCCACACGACCCACCGCCTATTGTCCCACACGACCCACCGCCTATTGTCCCACACGACCCACCGCCTATTGTCCCACACGACCCACCGCCTATTGTCCCACACGACCCACCGCCTATTGTCCCACACGACCCACCGCCTATTGTCCCACACGACCCACCGCCTATTTACAACCGGCCAAACTTTCCTTCAAAAGTCATTTCTGAATAAACAGCAGCTCTTCTATTATCCTGTAAATTGAACATTACTTTATATAGTAACAAGACTTACCTCCAATGTACAATAATATATTTAAATTCATAGATCTCACAGTGCAAAACGTACGTTACTAGCTGCCATTGCAACGATAAGGTGTGTTGATTAGGTACAATTGTAAATGTAAAAATACCTGTCGAGATCTGATTAGGACCTCTTGTGCCCTTTCTAATCCTTTTTTTGCGCTACCGCATGAATAACAGGATGAGAAATGGGATGCAGAGCAGTAAACTAGCCAGCAAACTGGCTAGTAACTGGTAAACTAGCCAGCAAACTGGCTAGTAACTGGTAAACTAGCCAGCAAACTGGCTAGTAACTGGTAAACTAGCCAGCAAACTGGCTAGTAACTGGTAAACTAGCCAGCAAACTGGCTAGTAACTGGTAAACTAGCCAGCAAACTGGCTAGTAACTGGTAAACTAGCCAGCAAACTGGCTAGTAACTGGTAAACTAGCCAGCAAACTGGCTAGTAACTGGTAAACTAGCCAGCAAACTGGCTAGTAACTGGTAAACTAGCCAGCAAACTGGCTAGTAACTGGTAAACTAGCCAGCAAACTGGCTAGTAACTGGTAAACTAGCCAGCAAACTGGCTAGTAACTGGTAAACTAGCCAGCAAACTGGCTAGTAACTGGTAAACTAGCCAGCAAACTGGCTAGTAACTGGTAAACTAGCCAACAAACTGGCTAGTAACTGGTAAACTAGCCAGCAAACTGGCTAGTAACTGGTAAACTAGCCAGCAAACTGGCTAGTAACTGGTAAACTAGCCAGCAAACTGGCTAGTAACTGGTAAACTAGCCAGCAAACTGGCTAGTAACTGGTAAACTAGCCAGTAAACTGACGGCAACAGTAAACTGTTGCCGCCTCCGACGGCAACAGTCAAAATCCTACCGTGTCTAAGTTGTTTTCATGTTCCATTTGATATATTTAACATCGTATCGCCATTCCTAATCTATACTCTCATGAGAACTATCACATCACACACGCAAGAGATCAAGTCAGCAAGCCATAGCACAGCCTCTCTCACACATCCTTGACTCACGCGAATAGATATAACTTAACCTTTACGCTGTTGTCTCAAAGGGGCCCCCGACCATTAGCCAAACTCGAGGCGTAAACAAAAAAAAAGCAAGCTCATTAAAGTTCTACTGCGCCACAGCTTAGGGAGTCCGACCTGACGACAACTTGTGTGTCACTCTTAAAATTGTATAACAATGTTGTCAATTAGGATAATTATATTTATTTTGGCAGCCACTCGTGTCAGTATTAACGAACAAGAGTAATGCTGTCTAACGGGGGTCACGCAGTATAACCACCACAGCATGGGCTCACGCCGTGTCTGTGCAACACACTCGGAGCATTGCATCTATTATACAGAAATTATATATATATATTAATAAAAGATATAAAAAAGATTAAAAAAATTAACCTCGTCAGTAAGTTTAAATATAGCATAACGATATGAGATTGGTAAACAAGATATACAAATTTACACGAAGGATATATATATATATATATATATATATATATATATATATATATATATATATATATATATATATATATATATATATATATATATATATATATATATATATATATATCCACCTCTCTTGTCTTGAGAGGTGGATAATCCACATACCTTGAGAGATTAAGATTATATCGTAGTAGTTCACGACTGTTGTGTATTGACTGATTTGTGTGCATGCCATTGTTTAGGTCATAATGACCCTCCAGAGGGTAATGGTTCTTAAGCCCAACAACCAAACCAAACCTTGTAAACGTCAAAAATACGAACTGGAAACAGCATTATTTGTGTGGTCGATGAGGAGGAAACATACTCTCTCTATATGAGAAATATCGAAAGTGAAAAAGGCGAAAGTGTTAATACAATGATAATATTCGTAATTATACCAACCCAAATCGTAACCAACGAACATTAAACTCCTCAGTGTAGCAACAAAGGCAGTGATGAAGGCCGCAGATACCAACACACACATGCGGGTTTTCGTGTCTCGGGGAGAGTCCGCGGACAATGTTACCAAGCGCGTAGCCTACGCAAGGCCGTACGTTATTTTTAGCTCTCCTGTTGAGTAAGGTCTTGCGCTCTTTGGGTCTGAGAACCGTTGCGTTCAGCTGAGGTCTCTGCGTAGTTGGACAGAGCCAGGCAGTTTTGGGGCAGTTTTCTCGCTGGTAAGTATAGCCCCCGATAAGGCACGTTGAGTTAGTGAGGCGTTATGTGTGTCATGTAAGAGGGCGGTGTGTAGCGTGTGTGTCAGCAGGCAGAGCCGGGAGTGCTGGCGCCAAGCAACACAGGAGGGGACGGCAATGCGGGCGGGGGGAGCTCCAAGCCGGGTCATTATCCTATTGGCGATAAACAAGCCGGCGACGCACACACATCAACCGCCCATCAACTTTACTCCTTTGGGAGTTGCTGAGGCTTGTAAACGGGCGTAGCACGCTGGTATCACAGGCTGATACACCTTCCCGTGTTCTCCTGCGTACCCGCAGTAGGAGGCTCCAAGCCTGCAGCGAGGAACCGTACTTTATGTTAGGGGTGGTCAGCGGTACCTTCACTGTCTGGGTCGCCGCTGCAGCTGCCCCCACATTAAATCTGGCGTGACGGGTTCTATAACGTGTGACGGCTCGGCCGCTCTGACCAACGAGCCTGTTCGTTAAGGTTATATGCGGCTCGCTCGTACTGGACCCGCGGTACACGACCTTCAGGGTATCAGGGTATTGCCTGAAATGTTCGGTGTGGTCTTGTTATCCTACCGGCTGCATCCCCTCCGTCGGTAGGTCGCATGATGCGAGTCTAAGTTTTACTCCTACCTAATGACAGTCAAATGTTCTGTTAACCTTCATATTCCTTTTATAAAGATGTGCATCATCATAATATCTATCACACTTCCATTGTTAAAGTTTAATGAAACATGCAGCATATGTCTTTGCCAAATTAATGTAAAAAATTATTTATGGGGCCTCTTACATGCGTAGACCTTGTCAACAAAGCAAATGGAATTCCTTATGTTCTGGACTGGACTGTGAATGGAACTTGATGCTTTAACAGTGTTTGTAGAGACATTTTCACAACCGCGCGTGTTTTCCATCACGTAAGTAAATCAATGTCTAGAACAAACAGTTTCCTCGATTGAGGGCAACAGTACTATGACAAACGCAAACGAAACAAATTTACAGGCGGTGAATCCTGATAGCCAGCCAGTGGTCCACCATAGGTACCGCCCAGTGACTCATAAATACGCTAATACTGATCTTGTCAGGGCAGACTCCTGGTCCGTCTGGCTATGAATGCAATTGTCGGCTACCGCCATTACCCGCCAACTGCAGCTCTCGTTCTCACTCTTGTTTTTGCCATCAGGAATGCCGCAGCCTCTCCTCTGTGTCCGGAACGGAACGAGATCACACCTGAGGACCTAAACACGTGCAAGTACGGCGTGGTGCTGGGATGGTGTGGCAACCCGGCTTGTGGCAAGGTCAGTGTTCCCTAACTTCTGTTCCCAGACTCCCGTACCAAGCTCTCATGTCATCCATTTGTTGTCACCCAGGCTTTAACTGCAGGGGCGGGGAGATCTCACAGTGAAACTGTCAAGTACCCAGACTTTCACAGCGTTGTGCAGAGTGATTTCTTCACGGACCCTGTTTCTGTACAGCTTCACACACACACACACACACACACAAAGACACAAAGTTAGAGAAGATTCAGAGGTATGCCACCAGACTCGTCCCGGAACTGAGAGGTATGAGCTACGAGGAAAGGCTAAGGGAGCTGAACTTCACGTCCCTGGAAAACAGAAGAGTAAGGGGGACATGATAACCACCTACAAAATTCTCAGGGGAATTGGCAGGGTGGAAAAAGACAAACTCTTTAGCACGGGTGGAACACGAACAAGGGGACACAGGTGGAAGATGAGTACCCAAATGATCCACAGAGACATTAGAAAGAATGTCTCTCAGTGTAATAGTTAACAGATGGAATACATTAGGCAGTGATGTGGTGGAGGCTGACTCCATACACAGATTCAAATGTAGATATGATAGAGCCCAGTAGGCTCAGGAATCTGTACATCAGTTGATTGACAGTTGAGAGGCGTGACCAAAGAGTTAGAGCTCAACCCCCGCAAACACAACTAGGTGAGTACAACTAAGCGAGTACCCACACACACACACCAAACTATGATCAGCTGTACCAGATGTCAGAAAGTGGGTTCAAGAGCTATACTTCTTCCTAAGTAATTAACACCGTGCGTCAAGCACCCTTGCTAACACCACTTAAGCATTCCTGTAAAAAAAATCGTCTATTCGACATTTATCCATACGGAACCTTTTGCTAAATGTTCCCGTGAACTTTTCCTGTTCACTGCTCCTTCCTGTGTGCCCTGGCGCCTACCCGCGAGCTGAAGCCATCATTCACCAGATAAACATCTACCTAATTCCACCCTACGCTCGGGCATTCATTCTACGCTTAACCTATTATAACATAACATTGTAATTAAGGAAACTATCAGTCTATCGTTCTACTACACCCAGTTGGCCCCCTCGACATCTATCACACCTCACTGATGCTCCCCTTCTAAGGTCACAAGTCATAGGCCAAACTCTATAATTGGCAAAAACATTTTTAAAACCCTTTTCAATGTTTCCTTATCGAAATAGTTACCGATTCAGCTGTCGTAGCCTCATTTATTCTGGTATTTTGATTTTACAATGATGTGTTGATTTACAGGGCCCAGGAGATCCATGTGGAGGCCGCTGGGAGGAGAACGGCATCTGTGGAGAGGGAATGTACTGTGTGTGCGGGTACTGCGCTGGCTGTACTACAACTCTTGAGTGCGCATTGGGCAGATTCTGCTAGTTATACAGCGCCCCGGAGCCCCTCCAGGGCGCATTTGGCAAGCTCACCTGGCTCTTCGCGGACCGCTCACTGTAAGGCTTCCCACACCCCCTATGGAAGCCTCTGGTACCACTTGCCATTCCGAGAGCGACGTGAACCGAAGTGGGAATTCTCTTCGGAACTGGCAAATTCGTTTTTCTTCTGGTGTCCAACGAGCTGAATGCGTCTAGCGCGCTCACCAACGGGTCCAAGTTCCCTCATGACAGTGGCAGTTTCCCTACCAGACCACACCTACGTTTTTGCTTTTGGATTTACTGTATATATAATTTGTTACCGTTTTGCTGTCGGCTGAGTGCAACTAGCGCGATTTGTAGGCGGGTGAAGACGGGCATTTGCTACGTAAGGAACTAAAATAAAAAATGCAATATAGTTCTTTTATGTATGTGACAATGATGCCCAGATGGCGTCACCAACTTACTGCTTTGTGATAACTCGTGCTCCTGACGGAGCCGCAAGCCTAGTGTAAGTTAACGGATCTCCCGGCTGGACCCGGTCCTTGCGGAACCGGATCCTTTTAACCGGCCAGTGATACATATACCGTATACGTAAACCCATCCCTGATATGTCTCAATAAGTATTATTTAACTAATAAATGATACAAATTTTGGTGAATTTGTTTATAGTAAGTTAAAAAAATGTCTATTGAGAGAGAGAAAGAGAGAGAGAGAGAGAGAGAGAGAGAGAGAGAGAAATATGAACCTATTTAGAACAAAATTCACAATAAACTTCTTTGAGTATTGATTTTTTAAATAATTCCTTTCTGACAATATATATCCTCCTTGTTTCGCATCGAGTCAAGACACACGTCAGTACGTATATGCTTTGATTATATTACAAGGCAGTGACACATATATATATATATATATATATATATATTATATATATATATATATATATATATATATATATATATATATACACACACCGAAAAGTGTACCAGTCTTCTCGGTGTGTATACAGAGTGTTTACATTAGTCCTGGACTATGTTCAGAATTAACTGGTTGGTCAGTAGGCTACTGTGGTGACCTACTAACCTTCCAGAGGTTGACAGGGCACAACCCGTTCTCGCACTTGCTTATAGTCAATATTGGCTTATTTAATAAGTGCATATGTAACATACTAATTGATTGTAAAGATTTTAGTTTACCTTGAAAAGCTTCATAGAAAACACCGACCTCACCTAACCTTCTTAGTATGTTAAGATAAGCATCTTATTGCTTCTTAATTACAATTATTACTTAACCTATACCGTTGATAGGTATATCAATACAGGGCATTACGTCCAATACAAAACTAATGCACTAAGTTATATCTAGGACTCTTTCATATTAAAAAATAAACTCTCACTAAGAGCATGATAAACAACACAGTTTAAATGAAGAGTATTTTTACACCAATCTTGTGGAATCTATTTGCTCTCTCTCAACTTATCAGGTTGATTTCATTATGTAGTGACAATGCTTAGTGATCAACCAGCATGTAGTCTAGGCTAATACTCAGTTTGTTCAGGATAAAAGTACACCCAAACGTATGTACACTGAAAAACAGTATGCACCATTTATTTATTTACCTATATATATACAAGAAGGTACATTGGGTTTGTGATACCTAGCATGGTGTTTACAATCTTGTAAAGCCACTAGTACGCACAGCGTTTCGGGCAGGAATTAATGAATATATCCTTGTGCTTGTGTGTGTGTAATTGGTTAATGTGTGAACTTAAGGCCTTGCAAAACCCTGTAGGGTTAAGGCCAAACATGAGCTTATTGACCACTCACTCGGCACACTCTAGTTCTGAACGTAGTCCAAGTCTAACATAAACTGTGCATGGAGTACTAATCCTTTTCTGTAAAATCTTTTAAAGTGGATCGAGTAATAGTGGCAACACGTCTGAAAATAAAGGGAGTGACGACGTTTCGGTCGGTCCTGGACTCTGATCAAGTGCTGTAAAGAGTGTCAGAGAAAGTACCGGGTCTTTATTGCCAGGTAATAAGGATCTTCAGCAGCTAGGCGGTTCCACGTGTTAATAACCCTATGGGTGAAAAATTAACTACTGGTTTCTGTCCTTCATTGTGGTTGAGCTTGAAACAATTGCTCCTTGTTCGTGTTATATTTGACTTTCGAACAAATGGTATAAGTGTGGTATACCAACAAAGAACAATCATATATGTGGTATATCTGTAAAGGGCAACCTTGTGTGTGGTATACCTGTAAAGGACAACCGTGTGTGTGGTATACCACAAATCATAACATAGAACGTAAAGGCAATGTAAAGGATCTGGGTGTACTCATGTCGGAAGACCTTACCTTTAAAGAACACAATAAAGTAGCCGTCACAACTGCAAGAATAAAGACAGGTTGGATAACAAGAACCTTTCACACTAGAAATGCTATACCGATGATGATACTCTTTACGTGCACTCTAGAGTAGAGTACTGCTGCGCAATGACAGCCACTTTCAAAGCTAGAGAAATTGCTGACCTGGAGAGCGTGCAGAGATCCTTTACTGCTAGAATTCACTCAGTAAAACACCTAAACTACTGGGACCGACTAAAGAGCCTAAATCTGTATTCTCTTGAGCGCAGGCGGGAGAGATACATAATAATTTACACATGGAAAATAGTAGAGGGGCTGGTCCCAAACCTGCACACAGAAATAACACCACATGAGACCCGGAGGCATGGCAGGATGTGCAGAATAACCCAGTTGAAGAGCGGAGGTGCAACAGGTACTCTGAGAGAGAACTCTATCAACATCAGAGGCCCGAGACTGTTCAACACGCTTCCACTACACATAAGGGGCATAACTGGCCGACCCCTCAGTGTTCAAGAGAGAACTGGATAAGCACCTCCAAAGGATCAACCAGGCTGTGATTCATCCGTCAGGCTGCGAGCAGCCGCGTCAAACAGCCTGGTTGACCAGTCTTGCAACGAGGTGGTCTGGTCGACGACCGGGCCGCGGGGACGCTAAGCCCCGGAAACACTTCAAGGTAACTTCTAGGTAACTACCAGTAAAGGGCAACCATAAGTGTGGTATACCAGTAAAGGACAGCCATAAGTGTGGTATACCAGTAAAGGACAACCATAAGTGTGGTATACCAGTAAAGGACAACCATAAGTGTGGTATACCAGTAAAGGACAACCATAAGTGTGGTATACCAGTAAAGGACAACCATAAGTGTGGTATACCAGTAAAGGACAACCATAAGTGTGGTATACCAGTAAAGGACATACATACGGGTTATAGAGCCGCGTGCTCCTGTGCCAGGTAAGTCACTACGGGCTCACAATAGACCGTGTCAATAGGAACTATTGTTCCGAGTAGCTGAATCTAAAACAACAACGGTTAAGGGGGGAGAGACCGTGAAAATAGTTAAGTTACTGCTAGCGACACGTATTACATTCTCTAAACATGTGTAAATTCTGTTAAAGAAAACAAGCTATTTGGAAAGTTTTAACGAAGACGCAAGCAATGTGGAAATCAACCGAAAATACACAGTAATCACCTGGATGATTTCATTTACATCTGTTTACTGGGTTAAGCTCTTGCTCTTTCCAGCTATCGACTGGTTAATGCACTGAACCAATAATTTATCTGTGCCTTAAGAGATATGAAGCATGCTTTAACAGGTTCTGTGATACAGATATAGACAAACGTTTAAGTATGATGCACAAGATATAATTCAGTTATGTTTAGCAATTGGCTAGTTGTTGTCTTATACTTCACCCTGGTGGAAGGCCTCCGAATAATGTGTAATCGATGCTGAAGGTTTCTTTGAGAGTGACGAGATGTTGTCTGAAGTTAGCTCTGCCACTGTGATATCTGTGATATAGCAGTCTCTGTGGTGTAGTGGTAAGACACTCGCCTGGCGTTCCGCGAGCGCTATGTCCAGGGTTCGTATCCTGGCCTGGGAGACGATTTACTGGGCGCAATTCCTTAACTGTAGCCTCTGTTTAACTCAACAGTAAAATGTGTACTTGATTGTAACAACGATTCTTCGCGGCGGGGATCGTATTCCAGGGACCTGCCCGAAACGCTACGCGTACTAGTGGCTGTACAAGAATGTAACAACTCTTGTATATATCTCTCAAAAAAATCTGAAGCAATGGAGGAGGAAATGTCTCTGGAATTAAACAGTGGGCGCAGTTGTTATTTGTAACTTTCCTGTATTGATAGCTGTGTATTACGTGATTGGTACGACTTTGTCTTTTTCTCTAGTGGCTGGTAATTTTTCTAAGGTCCCCATGTCTTTCTAATGGTACAATAAAATGTGTATTGTGGAGTGCATTGCTAAATCACCGGTATATGTGCCAAGTCAAACACAACTTGTTGTAGATACCCCTGAAGGGCTAGTCCTGAGAGACAAGGTGTTCATTCTCGCAGGGAGAAGTGCTAGTAATAATTCTTGCGAAAAGTGATAAAACTTGTAAAATATTAACAGTAATAGAGGCAAGTGCAGCACAAGACGAAGTTGTGGTAGTAAAAGCAATAGTTGTAGATCTGAGTAGTAGATGCTCATTATAGTCGTGTGGGGAAGTGTCTGGTGCAACCCGCTCTCGCACAAGACAGTACATATATGACTTATTGCTTATAGTCACTATTTGGCTGCACTATTTGAACACCTGGTAACACTGAAGGTCAGGTATAATCACTGACCGGTTATGGCGAGGCTAGAATCTGTGGTATATTTACATTAGGGGTTCTGGTGGTGGCTGTTGTGGTGGTGGTTGTGGTGGCTGTGGTGGTGGTGGTGGCTGTTGTGGTGGTGGTGGTGGCTGTTGTGGTGGTGGTGGTGGCTGTTGTGGTGGTGGTGGTGGCTGTTGTGGTGGTGATGGTGGCTGTGGTGGTGTTGGCTGTTATGGACTTGCATGTTTCACAGGCTCTCGAGCTTACTGGAGATGCGTCCACAGGCGCACAACGCATTTGGAACTCATTTTATCATTGCTCTTCTACCTAATTCACCTTTAAGGTGAGACTCGGCTATTCCTCTCACCCATCTGTAACAATTTGTTTGACGGGTAAGAGCCTGGATCACGGCACTAATGCTCCACAACGTGGCAGTTACTGCCCAAGGCTGCCCTTGTAACAACTGCTGTGCGGGGTTACTTACATCTTGTGAAACACTCTCCTTAAGGCGGCTCTGCCTTCAGACTCTCCTTGAGTATTATCGTTTAAATACTCGCTGTCAGAAAACAATATAATTGTCATGTTTTAAAGACAAGGATGACTCGGGTGAGGCAAGATATAGGTGAGGCGAGTAAGGTAATGAGTGAGGGTGTGGATACAGAGTGAGCACTGACTCAACCTGAGCACTGACTCAACCTGAGCACTGACTCAACCTGAGCACTGACTCAACCTGAGCACTGACTCAACCTGAGCACTGACTCAACCTGAGCACTGCAACAGCCCACTTAGCTCCAGGAGTAATCAATCCTTATAGGCTATCGCTGATGAGGTGGTCAAGGTACTTTGCACTCCAGGGGGTGATTCCTGCCAATGGAAATTCTAACCCTGATCGACAATTAGTTCTTAAGTGATTTATAGGATCATTCAATCATTCAAGCTTTTTCATAATATATTATATATATATATATATATATATTATATATATATATATATATATATATATATATATATATATATATATATATATATATATAGAGAGAGAGAGAGAGAGAGAGAGAGAGAGAGAGAGAGAGAGAGAGAGAGAGAGAGAGAGAGAGAGAGAGAGATATAG